GCACTGAGAAATGCTGCTTCTAGGCAGGAGTCAACTGACTGCTTGCTTAAAGCAATATACAACAAGATAAAGGTATGAGCCACCCCCAGACCCCCGGGGTTTTCTTTAGAGCACCAGGCTTTTGTGCATCTCCTCCTGTAAGGTCAGCTGCTCTGAAGTGTCTTGGTGAGTGTCTGCATTGAAGGTGTTCCAGAACATGGCCTAAGAACAGGCACTCTACGACTATTCAAAAATATCTACTCCACAGCCACCTCCTATTTTAACTTCTTCTGAGCTAACTCTTCCCAAGCACAGATCTTATTTTTCATTTCATTTTTTCCTATTTCTTTTATAAAAACAAGATGCCACCACTGTAGTAAGACCAAAATACAAGTGAGGAGAAAAAAACTAAGTAAATAAGAAACCCCTGAAAAATATAGTTATCTCACAGTGTGGAGGCTTTGTTCCAGGACCATAGATGCTTGGGACATCAATGAATACTCCTCCTGTAAAACAGTGTCCTACCATAACCTGTGACACACTCCCCTGTATGCTATACCTCATCTCTAGACATATATATAAAATAAAGTAGATGTTACAGTTCTTATACTGTACTGTTTAGGTAACAATGACTACAAGCTAAGGTGCTCTCCTATCTTATGATTCTCTTTTTCCCTTTCTTTCTTTTAATTCTCTCATATATCCCCTCCTCTCCTCTCCTCCTAGTCCCACACACACACATCCCTCTCCTCCAAATCCACTCCTCCTCTGTTTCCCTTCAGTAAAGGGCAGGCCTCCCAGGGATATCAACCTAACAAGGCATAACAAGTTACAATAAGACTAAGCACATACCCTCATATCAAGGCCAGACAAGGCAACTCAGTAGGAAGAAAAGGGCCCCAAAAGCAGGCAAAAGAGTCAAAGACAGCCCTTACTCCAACTGTTAAAAGTCCCATAAGAACACCAAGCTTCACAATCATAACATATATACAAAGGACCTAGATCAGACCCAAAGAGGTTCCCTGTTTGTCCGTTCAGTCTCTGAACCCCAGTGAGCCCTAGTTAGTTGATTCTGTGGACTGTGTTCTCATGGTGTCTTTGACCCCTCTGACTCCTACAATTCTTCCTCCCCCTCTTCCGTGGGATTTCCTGAGCTCTGCCTGTGGGTCCTACCTCTAATTCTTAGACAATCAAAGAAATATGTTCCATTTTCTCAAAAGGAAATAATGTCACTTTTCTGCCAAAATCTCTACAAACTCACTTGAAAAGTGAACATCCCTGAGTTACTCCAGTCCCTAAGTATCCTGGATACTATTGGAACTCAAAAACAACTTCTCTGTGACCAGAGATTCATCTCCTATATGGACTGAATCATTAAGATAATAGAGTACTGGAGGTGGGTGGTGGTGTTTTGTTTTGTTTTGTCTTGTCTTGTTCATTGTTTGTTTTGCAACAAGGCCTTCCTATGTAGCCCAGCATCAATTCAAACTTGTTATGTAGCCCAGGCTAGCCTGAAACTCATGCTTCTCCTGTTAGCGCCCCATGTGCTGGGATTACAGGTGTGCACCTCTATACCCAACTAATAATGACTTGCGTTCAGCAGATATTAAGTGAGTTCTGTGGTATCAAGGGCAGTTATTACAGGGAACATCCTAGTTGTTGGCTGTGAGTTTCCTTATTGAACTTTTCAAGGGAGCCCATAATACAAGGTAGGAATAGGATATAACATTCAGACTCACGCCATGCTTCTTCCTGGCATCATTCTTTGCAAATCCCAGCTCCCTCAGAGTCCACCTTCTAGAGTCCTTCTTCTAGACCTGCTCCTATCTTCACAGAAACCCCATGGCAGACTATAGAATTTCCCTAATACCGTAAGGTGCCAGCCATTCTAGAGACCACCAAAAGGATGGCCAGAAATCCTGCATTGCCAAATCTACACTTTCCCAGAACCTGTGAGTCAGGAAGAAACTGACGACCATAAAAACAGAAGCCCAGGAACTCTCTCACATCTTGCTCTCCTTATCAGGTTCAAATTCAACAAAAAAAAACAAAAAACCAGTTTCCACCTCTCATGTGTGGGAGTAACTATCAAGATCAATGAATAAAAAGTTAATTAAATTAAAATTTTAAAGTAGAATTTCAGCTCTTCACTCATGCTAGCTGCATTTTAAGTGTTCTGTTGCCATATGCAGCCAGTGCCTACTGTACTGGAATGCACAGGTACAGAACACTTCCTCCACAGTAGGAAGTTCTATAGGCCAGTGCCAACCCAGTCATTTGAAAATACATTCTGTATACACATGTGAATATAACCTGACTTCCAAGGCTGGTTTTATGACTGCTTGCCAACAAATTCTCAAGAGCCTAGGACCAAAAGGCCATTTCCCCCACCACCCCTGGCTCGCCATAACCAGTGGTTGCTTCCTGTGTTAAGGAGCTTTGATGCTGCCTCGCTCGTGGAAACACGTATTTTCTACCTGAGTTACTTTGACAGTTGCCATGATAAAGTACCCTACCCAAAGCAACTTATCAGGCTACCATTCAAGGTCACAGACCATCATGGCAGAGAAGTCACAAGAGTGGCAGCATGAGGCAACTGGTCAAGTTCCATCCACAGTCAAGAAGCAGAGAATGGTGAATGCCAGGACCCAGCTTATCATACAGCCCATCCAGAGAATGGTAACAGCAACTAACCTAATCAAAATAATTACTCAGAAACATTATCAGAGGCTAATCTGAGTCTAAATGATCCCTCCCAGATGTGCCTGGAGCCTTGTGTCTGTCCTAGCTGGTTCTGGAACCAGTGTTAATTGCCAATTGACAACCACTGTTAACCATCACAGTTTTCAAATGGCTCAGGAGAGTATGCCTTGATTAATCAAACATAGCATGTGCTTCCAAAAACCCTTTCGAGCATGTGATCTCAGTTCCAAGGGTACTACAGAATCAGGCTTAGCACCAAGTTGGTTCTGTGTGATGAGCATCTTTTTGTAGATGTGTTCTACAAGATGCATGTTTTAAAAAACCTATCATTCCTTAAAAACAAACAAATATGTATTATTTGGAGCTCTAAATGCAAAGCCATGTAGAAAGGGGGTATTCCATAGACATGGAGTCAGGGAAGAGCCCTAACACATACTATGTGGCAGGCACTGTGGTTGGTGCTTTTACACAGTCATTAACCTCACAAGTCCACCCGCAATAGTCACACTTCAAACGCAAAATTTTCCAGTCTCTCATAACCCGTAAGTGTAGAAGCTGTATCCTAATTCAAATAAGTGTGTCCCCAGACTCTGTAGTCTTCCCATCGCACCATGTGGTCCAAAGTAGTCTGTGTCTAGTACAGGAAGCTTAGAGCTTTGCACATTCAAAGACATCCCTCAGTGAGAAGTTGCGCTGTAAGGAGAGGTGGCATGGAGAATGCCTGGGCTGGCCTCTCCAACTCTGGTCAAACACACTCCCAGAGTGGCCAGATCTTTCACTAGAATGAATTAAACCAACTTCGGCATTTTTAGTGGTAGAACAGTTGAACTTCCCTAGTCTAAGAATCAAACATGCTCCAAGATTCGCATGATACCCTAAGTGGAAAATCTCACACTGGCTCTCATGTGACAGATTCTGGTCAAAGCACCACGGCATAGATAAAAATATTATTTTCAGGATGGCATATAAGGATATGAAACATACATGAGTTCTCTATTTAGCCTTGGCTTCCATCTCCACAATGCATAAGCACATATTCCAATATCCCAAATCTAAAGTCCTTCTAGTCCCAAGCCTCTGCGATAGGGAGTATTCAGTCTGTAGGAACCATTAAACCAGCAGCAGCTCCCACTTATCAAGGTCTACAGCACTTTAAACGAAAGGCACGATGGAGACTTCTTTTTGCAGTATCCATGCAGCTATCTGTCAATGCAGAGCCTCATAACTGGACAAAGTACTGAGAATAAGTGATATTGAGTACTCAGCTCTAAATGGAACACTTGTACCAAATCCCCAAGACGCAGAAAACACGGGGAAGAGAGGACAGAATGTAAGAACCAGAGGATAAGGGAGAGAGCTGGGAAATGCTGTTCTCTGGCCTTGACATGGCCGTTGCATTTCTAAACGCACAGCAGCTGTGCTCACCTGCACACAACCTGCACAAGCTGGAGCCCTTAACATTCCAGCCAAGATAAGAGAGGGGCCCGTGGGCCTCCACCCCTTCCTGAGGAGCTTCTGGCAACTGATAGCTGCTCTGGGAAGGAAAGTCATTTTTATTCAGGGTGTGGCCACCTGTAGGTCACCCATGCTCGGGTGGACAGCCCCACATCCATGTATGTACAGGCAGCATTAAGCGGATTTAGTGAGTTGGCCTGTTTTTTTAATACATAAAAGTAAAATGGGAGACACGTTGGGGGAGTGGGATGGGAATGAGGGGGATAGATACGATAAAGATACATTGTATACATGTAGGAAATTGTCAAAGAACAAATTTTAAATGTACTTTAAAAAAGAAAAGAAAGTCATTATGAACTGTTGCCTCCATCTGAGTCGCCCCTAAAGTTAACCCTAGGACAAGACCTTGCCAGTTTGGGACATTGAGTCATTCCACTAAGAAACAGGGACGCCAGAGAACATTTATGGAACACATCTTGTCAGTCATTGGTAGAGGACTGTCCCTGAGGAGCTAAATCCCTGACACTTTTAGGTGTCCTTCACACCGACTGAGCAGATGCCTACGATGTTGGCAGGGAAGAAGCTGGGAGACAGCTGAAGTGGAAGGTGGGCAGGCTACGAGGGAGCTGTAGTTGCAGGTGACTCAGAGAGGGCTTAGATGTAAGGACACCAAACTGGCTCCCTTTCCTTTACAGGGAAGGTTCCATGCTCAGATTCACAGTTGATGTGAAAATCAAAACCCAAGTCAGTCTCAGTAATTAATCTCAAAGTGCTTTCTCTTCCTGCTACAGACGGTGTCTCGAAAGCCCTTCTCATGGCCTGCCTACCTTCTCTTACCAAATCCCTTCTCTCTCTGCCCTCAGGAAAATACCACCCACTGGCAAGTTGGTACTGACCCTCCAAACAAATGCATGTGAGGGGAAAGAAAACTTCGTACGCTACCTTGAACATGTCCAAGCTGTCATCACAGTCAATGCGACCAGGAGAGGAGACCTGAACATCAACATGACCTCCCCCATGGGCACCAAGTCCATTTTGCTGAGCCGGCGTCCAAGAGACGACGACTCCAAGGTGGGCTTTGACAAGTGGCCTTTCATGACCACCCACACCTGGGGGGAGGATGCCCGGGGGACCTGGACCCTGGAGCTGGGGTTTGTGGGCAGCGCACCACAGAAGGGATTGCTGAAGGAATGGACCCTGATGTTACATGGCACACAAAGTGCCCCATACATCGATCAGGTGGTGAGGGATTACCAGTCTAAGCTGGCCATGTCCAAGAAACAAGAGCTGGAGGAGGAGCTGGATGAAGCCGTGGAGAGGAGTCTGCAAAGTATCCTGAGGAAGAACTAGGGCCATGCTTCCATCTCCGCCACCCCCTCCTTCCTGTCTCTGCCTTCTGTCCTTGCGCCAGCGTCCTGGCAGCCACCAGCCACCCAGCAATTCCTGTTACCCCCACACAAGCGACCCCAGCCTGGTCTGCAGCCTTGCTCAGTGTCAATGATTCTTTTCACTACAATGGAAGCAATCGTTTTTATTCTGTAGCCCAAATATAGCGTTCCTACCAACATCTATGTCCTATGTGTGACTCGACCTTTATTTCTGCCACGTAAATGGGTGATACGCTGTAAACAAAACAAGGACAGCTGTTCCCTCAGTTTTTTTTCATATCTGAGAAGGAAAATGCACCTAAAAAGCCTCACTTGGTGACTCGAGAACAACCGTGGTCTCAGCTGAGGTGTTTTTACTTAGCATGGGAATGAAAGGTGACAGAGGGTGACCCAGCTCTAGCACAGGGGTGGGTGGTGGCTTGAACTAAGCAAGACTATTCAGGGCTGTAAATTGAGGTGCATGATGAAAAAGATGCTGTCCCCAGGGAACCCTAAATACTGGACAGGGTGAGGAAATTTAAAAGACATGAACACTGAAAATTTACCCCCAATACCCAGCCCGTGTTCCTTCTGTTCTGCCAGGATGACGTAAGACTGAAACATGTGGCTTTTCTGTCAGCAGCGGCTGCTCTGAGCTGGGACAGAGTTAACTGGAGCAGCCAACATGCCTCTCTTACACAGAGTTCATCCACACACCTTCAGTTTCCTGGTACTCTTTAACACAGCCATCCAAGAGAGAAAACTACCAGGCGTTTCTAGCAGCTGTCTGACACGGGGCAGTTTACTAGTTTTAGAAACAGGAACATTCGCTTTCCCGAGTTTTAGACCTCCGTGATGTGACACAACCAAGAGGCAAAAGTTTTTTGGTTTTGTTTTGTGTTTTGGTTTACTGTTGATAACTTTGCCCACACCCACCTGTGCTTTGATTTCCCAAAAGTATCACTGGAGTGCAATATCTCCCTCCCTCGAGTTGTGATTTCAGTGACGTACTGGGAAATGGGCCTCTGTTCCAGAAGAAGCCAGTAGATGAAAGAGGTACATCAGAAGACCCAAGTGACCACATTCAAGTGGACCTATGGTTAAAAGGAGCCTGTTCCACTGAGAGGGACGTGTGCCACCTCATTCCCCATAACTGGGGGCCAGAAGGGAGCAAGAGATGACCTCTTTTAGGAAAGCAGATATCATCTTGGCAACTCAAACCCATGAGAATATCTAACAAGCACCCCCAAACTGGACAGTTGTCAACCTTCAAAGACACCATTTCATTCCTGAACAGTTTTTTTACCAAACTAACCCACTGTCACTTGGTGTCCCCACCCACAGATTGGTTTCTTGCTCAAATCTCAGTGTTCAGTCATCCCATCCCCCAACCCCAGCCACCCCAGGCTCTCACCCTTCCTTCCCTTGAAGCACACACGGAGTCTGGAGTTACTTTACTGAAGCCAGCAACTCAGAAGCACTGGGGTTCCATTCCCTGAGGGGGGCAAATTTAAGAGAGAATTCTGGAAAGCTTGTTTCATTCCTTTTTTCCACCATATTAACAAGAACTTTTGTCTTCTCTGGCACCTTGTAACTTGCCCTGTATCATGCTTTTGAGTGTAATAATATTTATGATTTTTAAAAGAAATTTATTACTTGTTGCAAAGGTCTTTTTAAACCACCTTAGATTTCAAGAAAAAAATGGTAATCATTGAAAATTCATTTCACATTAATGGTCTGGAAATAAACCAAAGGACATTATGTGTGCATGTATGTATAAGTGCACACAGAAATATATATACATATGTAGACTATATACATGTGTATATGTGTGTATATATATACTTGTATAAATGTACATACACACATATACCTAAATATGTGTGTATTCTGTATGTATTGAAGAAACAGACACCATATACATCTCTAAAAGAGTATTCAGAAAATATCATAATGATTCTGGCTGAATAAAAAGCCAGTGGAGATTCAGGTAAAATATCTGTTCATCTCTTCCCACTATAACACCTCTGTAATTTTGAAGCTTTCTGTATAAACGTTGTCTTATATAAGCAGCAGAAATATGAAATAGTCGTCCATATTTTCACATTTGTGGTATAATTTACGAAATTAGAGAGTAACTTATCAGCTTCTTAATAGAAAAAGCAAGTTTTGATATGAGTATATAGTACATAAAAGTATATAATGCTAAATATAAATATTTGGTCTCTTTTTCATTTTCGGCATCAGTATTACCACAAAAATATGTCTAGATAGTGATGTTTTTATGATGCCCCTGATTCTAATGCAAGAGATAGTTACTTATTTTAAAAACTGAAAATAAGCAAATAACAATCAGGTTAACATTGTTACTCCGTGACAAAAATTTTTAAGGAAATTTTAAAAAATATGTTGTAAATTAGGAGGCTCAACAATAAAATATACCTTCCAGAACATATGTGGGATGTGCTGTATCTTATACAAAACACTTCCACCCATTGTAGGAGTCAAAGCTAGATCTTAAAAGGCTGCTTTAGCAAATATGCATGACAGATGTGCAATTAGCAGATAAGTCACGTGAAAATTATGATCAACAGCAGCATTTCTGAGACTCCAGTTACATCTGGTAGTGGGCTGCAAATTCAGGGTAGGTAATAAATACCAGACCTTCTAACAGAAGAGAATAAGTCAGTCATGTATATTAAGTACTGTTTCTTGAGGCACCTGCTCCCAGTGTGTGTGTGTGTGTGTGTGTGTGTGTGTGTGTGTGTGTGTGTGTGTGTGTGTGTGTTGGGGGAGGGGGGACTGAGAAGGAGAGAGAGAGAGAGAGTGTGTGTGTGTGTGTGTGTGTTGGGGGAGGGGGGACTGAGAAGGAGAGAGAGAGAGAGAGAGAGAGAGAGAGAGAGAGAGTGTGTGTGTGTGTGTGTGTGTGTGTGTGTGTGTGTGTGTGTGTGGGGGAGGGGGGACTGAGAAGGAGAGAGAGAGAGAGAGAGAGAGTGTGTGTGTGTGTGTGTTGGGGGAGGGGGGACTGAGAAGGAGAGAGAGAGAGAGAGAGAGAGAGAGAGAGAGAGAGAGAGAGAGTGTGTGTGTGTGTGTGTGTGTGTGTGTGTGTGTGTGTGTGTACAGGTAAGCATCTGTCTTTCTGCCTGCCTGAGCATGTGTACTGGCCCATGATGTAAAATGTATGTCTTATTGTAGGCCACGATCAGATCTCTTTTAGAGCCGAGCATGGTAGCACCCATCTTTAATCCCAACATTTGCGAAGCAGAGACAGACAGACCTCTGTGAATCAGAGGCCAGCCTGGTCTACATAGTGAGTTCCAGGATATCTGGGACTATATAGAGAGATGTCTCAAAAAAAAAAAAAAAAAAAAAAAAAAACTTAGAAAGATGATTCTAGAACACACTAAGCTAGATGAAGTTATACTATAAGAACAAACAGACACAAAATCTCAGTGACTTAATGCAAAGGTTTATTTGTCAATCCCATGAGTTCAAATGAGGGTTTAGGTAACTCCAAAACTGCAGATTCCTATACCCTGAGAAGGGATCTAGGCCATTTCAGTCTCATGCTTTGCTGTCTGAACATGGGGTTGCTAAAATCACCAGGCAGCTTCTCATCCTCCCTCTCTGCTCAGGAGGATGTGCATACACTCTCACCCACAGCACCAGCCAGTTCTCATCAATGAACTTCCATGAACACTGGGTAACTGGGAAATGTAGGACAATTAGTGAGCTACTCAGTGGACATGGGATCCCCTACCATGGTGCCTGATCTGTAAAACAAGTTCTTAATTCTGATTTACACAGTAACCGCTCCTCATGGGTGGTACTGTGCATTATTGCAAACTAATTGTACCTCACCGCCATGTGACCATATGTTAATTCTAAACATTGTTTTAAAGTAATTCATTGTAAACCATTTATAATGTTCTCTGGTCCTATATTTATTAAACTCAATTATTAAAACTTCAAGTGAACCTATGACTAAAAACAGATGTGGAAAGATATAACGCCCACAGTTTGGCCTTGTGACACTGAAACACTACAAACCAATACTTTTGTTCATGCATTGATACCCTAAATATTAAGATTTGATTGTGTGTGTGTGTGTGTGTGTGTGTGTGTGTGTGTTCTCTTTGTTCACTCTCTTTCTTAATTTGTTTTATGTGTACGCACATTTTACCTGGGTGTCTGTTGGATCCCTTGGAACTGGGGTTACAGATGGTTATAAGCCACCGTATGGATGCTGGGAAACGAGCCTGGGTCCTCTGCAAGAGCAACAAGTGCTCTTAACAGCTGAGCCATCTCTTCAGCCCCAATTTTAAAAATTCTTACAGAGTTATTACTCTGTGCCATCATTACCCTTGTCATTATAAATTAAACATGGGTTTCCATGTGATGAATGCATTCATTGATTCAAGTGATTATATGGAAACCACAGAGTGCAAAACCGTATAATCAAGTACTTTATAGTTAGATGGAAAGAGAAATGCTAAATTAGGAGATGTGTTGAATTCTTTTGTTGCTGTTGTTTTGGGGGTTTTTGTATGTGTTGAATTCTTGTGTTGAAATACTTCATAGCCACAGTGTTTACAGATGCAAGAATCTAATTTGCTTTTTAGAAATAATAAAAATAAAACTACAAAGATTTTAGGAAGAGTGGATATAAGCTTGAAATCAATAACATCGGCACATGTCTCCTGGGCCAGTGCAAATGATGTGCTTGTGTCTAGTAAAGTGGTTCTCTGCCTCGAAAAAAGGAATGAGTTGATAGAAAGGATGGGGAAAAGGATACTCAGCCTATGGGGGATTAAATACATGGAGGGGCAGGCTGGCGGGAGTTGGCATAGAGAGACTGGCACACAGGAGAATCCCAGTCTCTGAAGAATGGGAGTCTATTGAGAATGGAGACCAGTGCAGTGGGTAAGCCATGCCCAGAGGCAGTGTCCTAAATACCACCCCCTGCCAATGGCCCCAGTCCATGTCCTTCTGGTGTCTCCTTCCATATTAACTGCATCTTAAGGGATGGACACACACACCTGGATCCAGAAGAGCTCTTTCTATTGTAAATTAGTCAGTGACCAATTGAGTTTTTCCTCTAGTCTCTTATTTTCAGTTAAACCCTTTCTTTTCATTTAAAAAGCTCATCAGATTTGATTTCAGATTTCTAAGAAATCAAGAAGCAAAATCTGATCTGGAGGTAA